TGTAGCCACAGCTGCCCTGGGGCAGACTGACAGAAGCGAGGCTGCCATATTGCGCCATCGGCCCCTCTGGCCAACACACATTCACTCTGTAGCTCCCATTGTTAATTAGTTAGCAATGCTACACACCTGTGTTTCTCTGAATGTTTCAGCACTCTTCCTTAGAGATGACATCTGCTCCAGAGGGACTGTTAATATCAGAATGACCTATGACCTAATGAAAACCCTGAAAACTGGTGAACTGTGCCGAGTCGAGTACGTACTAATGGTAAAGGGACTTAAAGGCGCAATAAGCAAAAACAAAAGCAAGTTTTTGCAATATGTGGTATGAATCTTTGCCTAATTTGTAGGTTGGGTCCCATTTAACAGCTATGGATTTTTGTATCTCTTTATAGCTTAATGCTGAATGGGAGATCTGGAGCAGCCCAAGAGATTCAATTTATTGGGAGGAGTATATTTAAAAAACAAAAAACCCCAACCTTTAGAAAGCAACTTTGGACCAAGTTACCATGGCCTAACCAAACGATTTAGATTAGTAGCTTAATTCAGGAACCTTAATCTACAGCAAGATTCACTATATTATTTTTTTATCTATCTATAGTAAGAAATCAGAAGAAAAGGCTGCACTATTGAAACTAACATCCACACAACATACCCAGGAGGACAGACTCAAAGGATTTTCTAAACTCTGCAGACATGAGATCTATTCCTCACCTGAATTTTCGCTTGAACTCTGTAATTAGATCTTCCTTTTCTTGTCCTTCAACCCAGTATTTGTGCGGCACATAAAAGGCAGACCTCACGCGGCACTGTGGGCAGCGTCTGAGAAGAGGAAAAAGTCAATCAGAATCACTTCAAGCCCTCTGGTTTTGTCACACCCTGCTACCTCCTCTTAAATATTACAGAAACCTACTTTATCACATCCAGGCCGAGGTCTTTGGTCTTCCTCCAGGTCATTATGCATTGTAAACAGAAGGAGTGATTGCAGTTGGGCAAGATGCCAAAGACACCGCTTTTCGGATCAGTCTTTTCATACACTTTGTCCATGCAGATCCCACAGGTCACATCTTTGCTCCTGAGGAAGGCCTCAGTTTCCTCCTCCCTTCCCTGAGAACCAGAGGCTGCAGCGGCAGCCCCATTCTCTGGGGTTTCAGATGCGGAGATCTCCTGAACATTAATAGAAAGCTTTGGGTTCAGCCAAGTTCTCCTGCTGAATGAGCATGCTTAAGATAACGCAGTCAAATTAAATGCAAACCTCATGTCTTCCATCGCAGGCACCTGCTTCAGCAGCTTCTGAGCTTTGAGACGATCCCAGACCAGATTCTGCAGAGGAAAAGCAAATTAGTTAGATCAACTTCTACATTCAGTTCCATCTACAAAATCATGCAATACCTTCTGACTGCTCCTCAGCGATATTTGCTGGCAGGTGCCCTGTGTCGCATTGAGGGTTTGAGGTATCAGCTGCCAACTCTGATCTGCTGCACTCTTGTTCAGATGTCACCTCAGCTTGCAGAACTGCAGGTTCTGACCCTCGCCTATCAGGTGACGCGTGAGCCACACTGGAGGAGGAGACCGTAGGAACTGAAGCCCTTCTTCCTGCAACAGTTGTGCCAGCTTCAGACTGAAGAACATGGAAAAACCTAGCAGAGAAAAAAAAAAATTATAAGGGATTAAATGATGGATTTTCTTAAATAATAAACAGGTGGTGGTGGTGGGGGGGGCAGCTTACCTGCAGCGCTCACCATACCAGCATCCACCTTTCTGATAATACCGACATATTTGGGATGCGTGTATGGCTGGCCATTCATGACGATAATTGCATCTTGAACCAAATCTGCAAGAGCCATTTATGAAACGCCTGCAATGAAGTGAAAACCACAAATCGCAAAGTAAATTTCTGCCACAAACCTTTTTTTTTAAAGCAGCAAGATTGGTTTTACATGCCGCTCCAGTGATTTGAACTGTGATGACTGCTAGTGTTTATGGGGTTATTTAGAATTCAAGCTCATAACAATAAGCCGCTGGTATTTTATTCTTTATAAGTGAAGATGCTCAGATTTTCATTGAGTGTAACCAGAAAGTATAGGATTGGGAGTGGATCAGACAGCTCAGGCTGAGGTGTTTGGAGACAAAGTTTGAGAAGCAAGGATGAGATGGTTTGGACATGTGGAGAGGAAGAATAGTGGATATTGGTGCCAGGCAGGAGGAAAACCACAGAGAAACATGAATGGGGTGAAGAAGGATATGGAGATTGTTGGTGTGATCCTAGGGACAGGGTGAAATGGAGTGAGCTGCTCTGGCCAAGCCTAAAGGAAGAAGCTGAAAAGAGTAGTCGAGCCGTTTTTATAGTTTAGTAAACTCTTATAGGTGGGAGAGAGACTGAAAGCCCTGCCTGACATTAACCAATTTTATTTTTTTATTTTTGACGTAATCAAAATAAAAAAATCATCTGACTTGAGCCTCAACTGCAGAACACATAACAAAGTAAAGACCGAACATTTTATACGTTGAAACAACATCGGTACTGTATATGCACATCATTAAACAGCTTCAAAAACTGTATTTGTCAGTAATAATCATCTTCTACTGACGCGTTTCTGGATTAACTGACGGAGAAGGGCCAAATCCGACACAGAAGTGCGGTCGTAAATCCCACTTACCAACAGCCACTAACTCAGTTAGCTCAAGTTTTGGCTAACATGTCAACATTATATTTAGTCACCTAGCAACACAAAAATTGTACGAATGTACTCACACAGCAACGTGGTCTACCACACTTTCTTCCTAAGTTGATGTAATGAAAAGTCACTATTTCACTTAAACGCGTATATTAGAACGTCACACGAAGGCATTTAAACTCAGACAAGCTATTTCTCAGTGCTCAGTCCACACTTTCCTCATTTCTAACCCACTCTGTGGGACTCGGAGGGGCTGCTTACCGACAAATGTTTCCACTACGAGCCGAGTCCATCCTCCGTGTGTTTTGAACGAGCCGCCGCCAAGCCTTCACCATTCACGTTATCTAAATAGTTGACAGCTGGTTCCTCTTACCAATTAACCTGGCAACGAACCAATAGAAACGTGACGCTGACGTCAGCACGTTACGCACTCCATTCAGAGAGTTTATTGAAGGACGCCAATCACAGCAGGGAGCAACTTGAAAGAGTTGTATGATCCACCTCATGATAAAAAATTCCAACAAAAATAAAAATAAAACAAAAATAAACCGAGAAAATCACTGTTGCCGCTTCTAATCAAGTTTATAAGTGAGAAATCACTAAACTAAACGTGCAGATAGGTTACATGTGACCATTAAGAAGAAATCATTTCAAGTTTTGAACAAATATGTCAGTCCATCACTTACACAGGCATAGAGGTAGCTTACATCAACTTATTTTTTTTCCTTTTTGTTTTTGGTGTAATTGCTCCTTTGTCAGCTTGGCACACTGCACACCAGCCAGTAACATCAGGATTTCAATGTGTAGCAGGAATTTAAGGCAAAAATAATATATGTCAAGGATTAGATGAGACAGCGGAATAATGTCACAGATCGTACATTAGAGGTAGATAGGGATCAAGACAGAATAAGAGCAAAAGAGGAGACCTGTGCTCACACCAGTGCTCACACAGAGCAGGGACAGTAACAACAGAAAAGGGGAAGAAATGATTATCCTGGATCCTGGCTACAGTATCGTAAGGCTTTTACACTCTATGCCTCACCTTTCAAGACACATCAGCCTGCACATAAAAAGAGCATTAATCTAGGACCGTGTCTATCTCCAATACAAAAGCACCCTGTGATATTGGAAGATGTTCAATTTTCATCAAGTATCCCAGTAATAATGACATGGTTAAAAATGCTGGCTTAAGGTAATTCCTGCACATGAAACCATAAAATCCAAACTCCTCATTGGGGAGAGGTTTGATGGTATTCTTGGTGATATATTTGGTACAGTCTAAAACTAAAACAGGCGGGCATGTAATATGAAAGAACACATATGAACTAATATATGAAACAAGTTGATAAATTCATGTTTTGCCCTTAGAAATACAATCAAAAACTACAAATAATTTGTTACAGAATTACAAAGAATAACCTAACAAATATATTTAAATGGCAAATTCATTATATTTTGCATATCAAAAGGAAAAAAGAAAACATGCCGTCCCTTGTACTTCAATAGGTCACGTATGTATGTGTGTATAGTGTCAGATTCAGAAATAAAATCTTTGCAGCACAGTCCAACAGTTCACACTTGGCTAGATGGCTTTAAGACAAAACCTAAATAAACTGGATCTCACATTTATTGACAAATGGCAAAATGGTATTGCACACATTTCTGCATTAAGAGAGAACTCTACACTGCTGGAGCCAGCCCAGTTTGTGTTCTTTATACCAAATGGCAAAGTGGTGGTCAGTGATAATGATGATGATGATTATAATGATGAAGACGATGATGTAAACAAATACCAGCTGCTGTATCTCTCCCGTCAGTTAAGTCTGAAAACAATACAATCACTCGTTTGTTTGAACGGTGCCACTGGTGTGAGAATGTGAAATACTTTCCCTTTGCAGCACAAACACAGAGCTGAGGGGAGCGAGGATGAGCTCCCTCTGCACACCGCTCTGGGGTCAGCTTCGCTAACAGGATGAAACGGGAGCAGCCTCATTGAGAAAACATATCATTCTTCCTGTTACGTGACCGTTGTGGGAAACTGGGACTCGCAGCAAATGATTCCAGATGCTCGTCACATGCGCGCGCACACAAACACACGCATAACTGTGCTGAGGGTTACGCTGACACTGCGAAGACTCTGCTGATTGTTTTAGCACTACCAGGTGAATTTGCCTCATCTGCACCCTAGAAATCCATGCCCGTACTACAGTGCTTGTACTGAACGCAGTGTTTCATTATAAAATTCAGTCTGTAACAGTATTGCTAAAAGCAGTTTGTGCTGGAGACTACTAATACATGTCCTTGTAGATCTCCTGTAGTAGAGGGTGGAGCGAGGTCTCCGACTCAGTCTTTTTGATCTTTTGGACGAGCTGAGCGTTCTCTGTAACCAGCTGACGGAGGTCAGCCATCTTCTGAAGCAGTTTTGGGAAGAGGTAGACAGAGTCAGAGTGATTTGCTTGGAGGTGGAGGTCCAGGGCCTGGAGGATGTTGTCCTGACTCTGCTCCACCTGCTTCACGTTCATTAGCCCGGGACGATCTAGTGCAAAAAGCCTGTGATGAGTCACAATTTATGCTGGGCAAACAAAACATGCAAAGACAAGTTAAAACCTGTTTTAGAATCTTACTGGCATGTAGCAACACGATAGATAACCAGTAGCTGTTATGTGGCTGGTTATAGACAATTACTTTCTGGTGGAACCAGCCCCGAAAACAGGCAACCTCTCTACTTGTAAGATTAGCCTTAAAACATTGCTCTATGACAAAGCTTATAGTTACAACTGGATCAGCTGAACAACCCCTTAGTTGTGCTGCTACAGGCTCAGTGATTACTTCTAAATCACTGTTTTTTTGGATGCTATAAGACTCGAACCTTGATTGTACCTTCTAACAGTTTCACTGCAGCACTTTCAAAGAGGCTTCAAGAGCTACAGACACACTTCACAAGATTTGAATCTTCATACTTGACCAGAAAGCTGCTCAGGCTCACCTCCACAGAGAATAATGGCAGCAACAAACAAGGCCAGATCACTGTCATCCAGCTCCAGAGCATTGAACTTAACGGCAAACTCAAACTTTGGCTCCATGATCTCACTGAAGGGCTTCCGTAAGCTGCGCAGAAACTCCCGTGTCACAAAGCCTTTGCCATTGGCCACCAACAGTCCATCTTTGTTCATGAGAGATGGCAGCATGGCAAAAATAGCCTCGTGCACACCATACTTTAACAAAGTCACCTGCAGCAAGCACACAAACAGCTGTTTATTTGTGCTTTCCTAAACTCGGATATACTAATAATTCTTTGTTATATGAGACGGCGGCTTACCTGGTCATTAAGGAAGAGGTCCACAAACCCTGGAATGCACTTGGCAAACTCTGTAAGCTCTCGCACGGTCTCCACCGTGGTGCACTGACAGCGGTAGAACACATGAACCCCAATCTCCTTGGCCAGAGGCGCACCTGGAGTTAGCTGGCTCCACACCAAACCACTCTCTGCTTTCCAGAGGGTGTCCACATCATAGATCACAAATGGCTAAAAGGAAAATGTATTAAAGGGAGAAAGGTCTGAGGGAAAAATTCACATAACTGAGTTTTGCATAAATCAAAGCACAGCTGAAAGACAAGAACATACTGAGGTGCTGCTGGTTTTGCCCGTCAAGATGCTGCGGGCTCTCTTCTTGGTCATACTGAGGTTCTTCAGGTAGGCTGTATTGACTTGTTTGGCTAAAGTCTTCAGGTCTGAGCCACCTGGTTTGCTGACGTCCAGCTCCTCTGCGAGTATGCCTGCCACCAGCTTCTTCCTCTCCGCCTCAGGCATTCGTCCATATCTGATTGCTGAGCAAAAACACCCACAGAGACGGTGTTATTCTGACAGGATATTTGCAACACTAATGAGTTCTGAAACATCTTTGTGTTTTGGAACAACTCAGAGCATTAACAATGCAACGCACCATCCATGTGCTACAAAAGATTGGAAAGGATTGAAAACGGAAGATTTGTTTCCTCCTTTAGACACAATAAAACTCTTGGATCTCTCAGGCAGCCCATCTTCAGCTGGTCAAGAACGCAGAAGCTAGACTGGCTTCAGGTGAAATTCAAATTCATTTTAAGATTTTATTACTAGCATATAACGTCCTACATGGCCAGACCCATTCCTGTATAGCAGACATGATGACAGCTTCTTCCAGCAGTTGGCCTTTCTGATCGTCTCATCCGAGTCTTTTAACTGATCCATGCTCTTATTTTAAAGCTAGCGATGACCACACTTTTGAGGCTGTCTCCCCTAAACTCTAGAACAGCCTTCGTCAGCACATCAGGTTGGCTGAATCTGTGGTTTGTTTTAAGCAACTGCCCATTATTTTTGGCTCTTGCTCTTCTAATGCGTGTATAGAAGTGCACACGCAAGAATGAATGCATGACCACATGTTTGACTTTACGTTTCTATGACTGGACATGCACGGTTATCTTTAATGTGCGGTTTTACTCAAACAGTGAAGCACTTTGTAACTGTGTTTTAAAAACTGCTATACAAATAAACTGATCATCATCTTAGTATTTTAAGTGAATCTCAGAAAACACTTAAGCCCTCACCGTCGTGGGACATTCCCAAAGACAGGCACTTCTGGAAGCGACAATATTGGCACTTGTTACGATTTTTCTTCTGAATCTTGCAGGAACGCTCACAGCGCTCATATTCCAGTTTCATCCGCACAGTACGCCGGAAAAAGCCCTGCACAAAGCAAAGCACATCTAGTTAAGCAACTCGCACAGTTGGGGGGTGGGGGGGCACAGAACTTCCCACTCAATAATCTGTTGTGGGTAAAAGAAAAAATGTTTTACCTTGCATCCTTCACAGGCATGTACGCCGTAGTGGAAGCCAGAGGCCTTGTCCCCGCAGACCTTACACTCCACACTGATCCCGGAGCTTGTGCTGTCCTCTTGGCCCAAACGCAGCTGTTCTGAGAGCGAAGGTGATGAGGTATGGGACAGGTCTGCATATAACAAAAAAGAATAGCATTTCAGTTCAAGTACATCTCATGAAAATTTCAGAGAGTGGAAAGTCTTACCCGTGTAGCTCGATGATGCGCTGCTGTTTTGCTTGTTGCCGCTGTTCTCCTGATCTTCCCCTTCTTTCCGTCTCTTCTTCTGGTCCCTTTTCGGGTATTTAGAAGCAGGGACTACCTCCTTCTCCTCCATTTCCTCCTTTTCCTCCTCATCTTCACTCTCCCTGCGCTTTAACTCTTTCAGATCTGCCACCTCGGAGACGCTTGTCGCACCACAACTGTCCGAGCCTACAGACTCTGCCTGCGGCGGCGTCCACCTGACGTCAGCTGCGTCCTGGGGGCACTTTGGCTCACAGTAGCCGTTCACCCCGTCATGCTCCTCTGGGGCAGTTTGTTGAAACCCGTCCATGGTTCCTGTTGCAGCTGATTCAGCAGCTCATCTCCTGTCACGTAGCCACCATAGTTGCACTATTTAAAAACAGAATCAATCTACTTGAAATACACCTTACTAAAAAAAAATATCTCTGTTAACATGAGGTTTATTTACACAACTAGAAAGAATAGCTAATCACACTTTAGAGCCCACATATCATCAAGGGTTCCATTTAATCCAGCATGCCAGCGGTTAAGAGTCCAGTTTCATCTTGCCATAACAAACCAGCAAAGCCAAAATAGAGCCCTATTTTTTTTTTTAAAATAAGCACACGGGTGAAACTCACATAAGTCTTGTATTCAGTTTAGTATAGCAATAATAAATGAGATGAATGCTGTTCCGTAATCTTCAACAGAGTTTGTTTAGGTGCCTTTCAGTCAGTTAGGTTTTGTTATAACAGCCAGGGAATGTCTTTTAAAGAAATAAGCTCATGACCTGAGACACAGATGTTATGGAATCACGCCTCAGTTACTTCAAAGCCAACGGAACAAACAGACAAGACAATAATAAGGATATATCTACATTTTCAATCCTGATTTAAAACATCATAGAGCACTTTACAGGAATATTAACACAGACACTGTTTGCGGTAACTGTTGCTAAGTTCGGTTAGATTTAAATACTTTATTATAAATAAAAGATTGATTTGCTTATTTGCAGCACTGTCCAGAAAGGTCTGTACATACATCCAGAGATGCCATCTCAGTATTACTCAGTAATTACGTATTAGTTAGCAGCATGCAGAACGAAACCGTGTCTAACAGGCTAAAGTCACACTTAAACAGGGGTTTTCCTGGCTCAAAAAGGGTGGACTGTGCACATAAGGACAAGTGGTCTGCAAATAGTTCAGACGAAAAGTTTTCTGTAACCTGCATTTTCCTGTTATCGTTTGGCCTTTTTATGAACCAAAAATGTATTTTTAAATAAAGAAAAAACAAACACCACTTGAATAAACATGTTAAAAATCACAGTCCTGCGAGCTTTCCCTTTATCGGAAGGTCAAAAACCTCTTTGGTAACCACTGTAAGTTCAAAGTAAAAAGCTACTTTCAGCTTACTCATAATAAGTTGCCACAGCGGGTAGCCTCTTCAGCAGATTTTTTTCCTCCTCCAGATGGCAAAAGGACTGCCACTCATATAGTGCCTTTCTACTTAATTTGAGCACTCAAAACACTTTCTACTACAAGTATCATTTGCCTAATAACACACACACACACATATATATTTATATGCAAAATGTTGCATTACTTCACATAATAAGATGTTTAGTATATGCCTGTGGTACCTTTAACAAAGTTATTTTTTATAGTAGATTATATGGAGATTATCTATTCTTTATGCAGCTGCAACACAATTATTTTCATTGCGGGATAGAGTATCTATGAATTTGTGCACCGGTGTGGAAAAAAAGAAGCTGAAATACTACTTTCAAAATCTTCAGTTTCATAATGAATATTCATTTATTTTGCCCCTGGAACATAACAAAAGCAAGAATTTCACAACCGCTGCATCACTTTTAATCAGAATAAGGGCCTACCGCGTTTCCAGCACAGTTCAGCCAGTACATCGTAATAGTAAGGACACTAACTTTATCTCTAACCGAGCTTGAAGACATCTGTATTATTGTTTGCCTCACTTGGGATGGGGTGCGGGGGGTATTTGGCGGCTGCTTTTACAGGAACAGGGTGCATGCACTATGTACACACTGAGCAGTGCAGCTTGCTGATGGAGGCGGTGGGGGAGAGGGCTTTGGGTTGGGGGTTACAATTTTTTTTTCTACCCCGGGGCCCTCTAGCGGATTAAAAAGTCCTTGTTTGTAGCTGTGCCTTAACAAACAGCTACAGTGTTTACATATTAGTAATAAATGTTGTTGTTGTTGTTTTCCATAAAGGACACACTCATTGTAATTCAAAGGCTACGCGCTGTTTTCATAATGCTTAACACCAAATTAGGGGTGTTAAGACTTGTCCAGTAGACAACCTGTCACACTGGTTCTCGGAAGTCTCTGCTAACATTACCGTGTAATTGCATGAGTCACTGACAGGACTGTAACTGGATACAAGCGTTTGAAAAATGAAAGGACAAACGAGTTACAGACATGGCTGCCGCCAAACTTTCTTATCTCCCTTAAAGTTTAAACTGTATAGGCTTTAAAACTAAGCTCGTTCAGCCGTCGGCTCGGTTAGCAGCTAGTTAGCCACTACCTTGAATTGTGACTGAGTCCTACTATCAGCTAGCCGTTAGCACGGCTGACCCAAATTCCCGTTTGTGCCTTTAAATCACGTTAGCTATCCTACCAGGTTAACTTACCTCTCCCGCTTGTGCTGCTGCTTCAGAAGATGTTTATGCCTCCCGGCTGAGGTAAACAAACCACAAAAGCAGTCCCGAGTCCTGTCCCGGATCGATCGGCTGTTGACAAGTTTGTTTGCTTGAAGCTGGAGTTAGCTTACGGCAAGAGCTAACGTCAGATCGCTAACTACTATAAACTTAGACCGAGTCAGGCCTCCGTCCATGTAGAAACTGGGCTGACGAGACGGGAAAAACAATGTGGAAATCTTTGTGGGCTACCATGTCACATGCAAATAAGCGGAGTTAACTAGTAATCCCTCCCCGAGTCTATCCCTGGCTTTGCTTTTACTCTGCTTTGGTTTGCTTCACTCCCCTCTCTCCTCCCCCTCCTCCTCCCTCGTCACATGCCACAGCACAGCGCCCCCGCTGCACACATACACACAGAGCGCACAGCCGACTGGATGTAACTACTGCAAACAGAAGAGTCAAGGTCTCGGTTAAATACTGAGTTGTTTTTGACATGGACACATATTCAGCTCTGACATATTCAGCACGTGGCTGAAATCCGTGTGGAAAAATATGTTATTTATAAATGTAGAGACTGAACTGGGCTATTGTTACTCTCCACTACCAATCAAAGAGCCTTTGAGGAAATAAACATGCATTACAACTAGTTTATACACATATAATCAACTTTACGCGAAACCGTACGTGACCATGTATCGAAGAAGAGGTTTTATTTTTCTTTGGTTTATATTTCTAAATTAATTTCTGTTCAAATAAACATATTAAGGCAACATCTAATATTAAGAACGACATAATATAGAAGGAGGGAGGTCAGCAGCTTATTTCCCCTCTCAGCTGCCACTGCTTAAAAATGTAACACTCATAAGAAAAATAGGTCGTCTCATCAGCTGTTTCGGAAGCTTGTTTCTGCCACAGATTTATTTTATTCATAATTTATTTATTTATTTTATTTTTGTCAGTTTGGGGGGTTATGAATTCAAAATGTCGAGTTTGGGGTTACTATCTGAAAAACTTGAGTGAAGAATCACAACGTTTCTAACTAATAA